TTGGACACCCCTGGGTTAAAGGGAAAGGGGGACAGGGAAGTCCTCTATAGGGCTCAGTACTGCTCATCACTGTGTCTGACACACAGTTAAAGATGAAAATAAACTTTATCGATCCCTTGCCAGGGAAAGTAACAAGGCGTTCATCGTGAGGACAAACTTTAAAGACCATCCAGGACACCAGAGGAGCATCAGCCTTCATGGCAGTCATCTTCCTCCTGAGCAGGGCAGGCTGAGTGGTGTAAAAAGATGCTGGAGAAATCAAAAAAACATGATTCAGACAGAACCTCTTTGCTTGTCAAGGGGGGAGTAAGGTTTGTCAACTCTGAAATCGTTTTGGTAAACGAACTGGAGGGGATCCAATGATCCAGGGGGGCAGAGGGAATCCAGGACCAGTGTTTCAAAAGCTTTAATGATGTGTGAGGTCAGTGCTACGGGCCTGTAGCGCCTGGCCAGACTGGGACAGGTCTTCTTCAATACCGGAACTAGGCGGGATGCCTTCCACAACACTGGGCCATTCTCCAGAACCAAGCTGATGTTAGGTGCTGGAGTATGACACACAGCTGGGTGGGGGGTACAGACCTTGAGCACCCTTGGGCTGATGCTGTCAACAATGTTGGCAGTCTTTGCCAGGCAGAGTTTAGTAATTGCCCTCCTCATCTAGTCGGTAGAGCTGCTCAGCAAACTGGAGGATTGAAGGAATTTAAATAAAATGACTAACTTGTTTTTAACGATGTACTGAAAAAAAGACAGTATTTTAATAACATTTCATTTTCTCAAAAGGAATACCAGGAAAGTGAACTTATTCGCATTTGTTTTCGTCGTGTCACTTTATTCTTCTCGTCTATGATTTATTCTGTCTTGTTTCAAAATGCTGACACTGATAGCTGCAAAAAATCCTGAACGTGAACAAAGCCGCGACTAGAAAAAGTGGCATGATGGCAAACATTTTATCTTGTTTTAAAATTATTTGAATGTTGGATGTTAGATTCATTGACTTCTGTTAGGAGATCCACATTTCTTTCTTCTTTTTTATACAGTGTGCAGGTTTGTCCTTGCTTTGTCAATGTGATTTGACTTTGAATGTCAAGAGCTCAGAGAGAGAGAGAGAGAGTGTGTGTGTGTGTGTGTGTGGGCATGTATTAGACTTCTCCTCCACACAAAGATGCTCCCTGGTGAGCCCTCGTACACAAATAGACGGACCGACACATACAAGCATGCACACACAGGAAAAAAAAAACCATGAGCATGTTTACAGCTGCATGTTGACCCCCCGTGTCTCCATCACTTTTTGTCATTTTAACAACCTCCTTCTTCTTCTTTACATCCATCAATGCTGACAAACTGTGTGTTTAAAGAAAAGGCGCTGTAAATTAATTTGACTTTCACTCACTCAGAGCCACGTAAACAAGACAATTGCATACCCTAATGCTCCTGGCAGGAGGCCTAGTGCCGCTATTGAACACAGGATTTGCTTCCTTTGTTACACACAAAACGCATGTGTGTGTATGTGCGATACATGTTGGAGGGCTGAGCGGAGACACTTGGAGGCCCCGCCACCACCTCCTCCCCGGCGCATGACTGGACGTATCTGAGCTCTATTAGATTCAACCCCTTCAACCCCCATCCTTCAAACACACACACACACACAAATCAGCGCAGCGCAGCTCGAGGCTCAGCCACAACACTCTGAACCCTCAGAGGAGACGGTGGGTGGCAGAAATCCATCGCTTGGCTTCGTATTGCTAATGTGTACGAAGGTCTGAGCCGCCATGTCTGAGCCGCTGCATTGACTCACAACGGTGATCTGAGGCGTGTTTGACAACTCGCTGCTAAAATATTCTTATAAAAATCTGAGAGTGGGGGTGGTCGGTGAAGAAAGCAAACAGCGTGGGATGGAAGGATGGTTAGACGGATGGATAGGTGGATGTGTGGAAGGGTTTTCAGCTCCAGCAGAGTGAGCCAAAAGCTCTCGGTGTTTTCTAAGTGATAAACAGGTCAACAGAAGCAGTGAGTGTTTTCAGCCTCAAAGCGACCTGCTGCTGCTCTGAAAATTGAGAATCAAATAGTATAAACACCTGACTGTGAGCTCTGTTTGTAAAGATTTCACAAGCATCAACTGTATATCTTCTGAAAAGATCACATGCAGTATAACCTTATTGTATGTTTTCACAGCTTTTATGTGCATGCATATTAAGTACTTTATGATTATTCATGCAGACAGAAGACTTGTTTATATTTGGTTTGCCCAGCCTTTGCCTTTAAAATAGCAGCAGTTGTCCCCTGAACACATTCACAATTTTTCAAAGTACTTGGCAGGTAGGTTTGTTCCCAGCATCTTGAAGAACTTGCCACTGTTCTTTAATGGATTTAGTCTGAGTACAGGAAGGTCTGCAATTTCATCATGTCCCCAAGTCTGCAAGAGTCTGAGCTCCAGCATGTGTGGAATATGTAGATACGGCCTACTGGGCATGTTTGGGATGTAGTCCAATAAGCAGACTCCCGTGGACTAGAAAAATAGAAGAACATAATAGTGAAATAGCAACAACTATGTGTTTGTGGATGCCCACGTTAAAATCAGGGCTCTGTGGTCTTGGCTTGTTAAATATTTGTTGGGCTTCTTTTGCCTGTATTGGAGAAGTAGAAGTAGAAATAGTAGCAAGGCTCATTTACCTGATCTGCTCTGATCTTCACTTTGTGAATGACGGGAGATCAGGTTGTCAATCAGATCAATCAGACATCTCAATGATGGTACTTGTGATGCATATGAATCGAAACAACTGCCTAAAACATTTGCACAGAACAATTTGTGGCTAAAGGCCAGCTTTTTTCAACATAATATGAATAATTTGGAGAATATGGCTTGGGAAGCTGCAAGGTGGCGCAGTTGGGTAGCAATGTTGCCTCGCAGCAAGAAGGTCGCCGGTTCGCGTCCCGGTAGGGGCACCGGGATCTTTCTGCGTGGAGTTTGCATGTTCCTTCCTCCCACAAGGTCCAAAAACATGCTGAGGTTAATTGGTGATTCTAAATTGTCCATAGGTGTGAATGTGAGTGTGCTTGGTTGTCTGTCTCTAAGTGTAGCCCTGTGATAGACTGGTGACCTGTCCAGGGTGTCCCCTGCCTTCACCCTAAGTCGGCTGGGATAGACTCCAGTCCCCCACGACCCTAATGAGGATTAAGCGGTGCATAGATAATGGATGGATGGATGGCTTGGGAAAAAAAAAAAGAAACATCTGGGTTATGGGGTTTCAGAAGCTTCTTGACCATCCAAGAAGGACTTATGATCAGGCAGCTGTGACACAGGTGGTGGAGAACGTTGTCCACTAATCACAGGGAGAGTGGCTCTTTCTGTCCACATGCTGAAGTCTCCTTGGTCATCCCACTACTCCTGATGGCAACTCTGCTGCCATTGGTGTGTGTGTGAAGCAAAAATTGTAGAGTGCTTTGTAATAAAAGGTGCGATCTCTGTGGAGTCATATGGATTTTAGAAGACTTGATTTGCCCCTTTGGCACAGCATATTCTCCAACCAGCCATTAGGAACCTGTCATCATCCCCTACTGCCTTTCCAGTCACCAATACTTGTATTAGTGGTAACACCTGATCGAGCTGGAGGTACACATGTTTTTCCTATCCTAATAAAATTCCCAAACCAATCAAATAACAGAATGAGGAGCACAATCTTGACACCTGCCCTGAACAATCATACCCCTATTTTTACTTTCTGCTGATAGTTTTGACAAATAAACAAGCAAGGATAGAAAGCAGATTCATATCAGGGGAATGGTGAGAATCCATCAACGCAGAATGAATGTGTTTCCTGCTGAAAGAGTTTTTAGATAAACTTTATCGCTCTTCACCTTGCGTTTCTTTATAGATCTACAGGGAAGAAAGAGCTTTGATAAACAGAAAATCAAGTGTGAAGAGGGAGGACAAAGAACGCTGGGAGCCAGAGTGAAGAGGCAGAGGAAATGAAAGAGGTAAAGGATGTGACCAAGGAATATGGAAAATGGCATAAACAAAACAGACATACGTGGGGCAAGAGCTGATTAGCATCCTAAAGATCTGAGTGCTGTTTGTAGGAACCATAAACCTCAGAAGAACCTTGAAACAAACAGTTTTTAAACAGACAACAGTATGCGGAGACCTGCATTTGTCTGTTTTAAACAAGTTATTAAGTGTTTAGGTAGGTTAGAGCTGTTCAATTCAATCCAAGTGAGAATGTGTGTGTGTTTGACCGGATTTCAAAGATTTTGTGGCATATAAAAGTGTATCAACAGATTTTTGTTGATTTTTTTAAAGAAGCTAACTCTCTGTGTTCCTACAGTGTTTTCTGGAGTGAAAAGAAATGCTTAGGTTTGGTGTGAAGAGGCTGTTAACACCGATTAACCTACTAGGAGTATTAACTGTTGCTGAGATGTTATAGTAAGGGACACAGTGGAACTAACTGTAAAGTCAGATTTTCAAGTGGAAATGAAGGTGATCTGGAAAATATAGCTGTATACTGTGTGTTTGCAGTGGACAAAAGTGTCCAGTGCTGAGCCTTTGTTCTCCATACAGACTAAAATCAGAATTCTTAAAAAGAAGCAAATGAGTTTAAATAGATTTTCATACATATCTTACATTTGTGTGTGTGTGTGTGTATATATATATAGCGTAACATCTGTTGGTACGCTTTTGCACACACAAACACACATACACACACATATATGCGGTGTGTCAGAAAAGTTCCAGCACTGGTGTCATAAAAGATATATTTCAAACTACGAGTTTTCCCCTTCAAAGTAATCGTCCTGGTGGAAATGAGTTGCTAGGCGGAGGTCTGCGCTCTCCCAGTGCTTTTCTAGTCACAAATGAAGTCCAGTTGTAGAAGTCCAAGAGAAAATGACATTTTTGTAATTATTTCATGGTTCCATCCACTAATTTCAAGACTTTGTAAACACAGTATGGAGGTACTACAGTGAACAGCATACATGATAAAGCAGGGTGTGTTTGTCTCACTTACTTCAAACACCTTCTCGGTGTAAAGCTCGTCGTTAACGCGATCTCGGAGGATGTCCTGGTTCTGACGTACAAAGGTAATGTAGGTGTCAGCCAGGTCCATTCCTGGTTTCTGCAGGGCATAAGACAAAGACAGGTCTGAAGAGAATCCTTTCAGGGTAGAATGGGAATATACAGAACAATGCCAGACATTCACAGACTTTTCACAAGCGCTATGTTGAGTCTTAAAATGGCAGCATGGCCGGTGTTCTTGGTGCACAACTCAATGAAAAGACATCCTGCTGGCGGCGCATGATGATCTCTGCACACATTCTGACCAGTGGGACGGAACAGACTCCTAAATAATAATGTCAAAGTCCTGACATCACAACAACTAGCCTCTTTAACTAAACACATTCCGTCATAGAACGTTTGTTTCGTTTGTCCTTCTGAAGTGGGGAGTTTCAGTCGTGTGGCCTCTAGATCGATGAACTTAAAGGGTCACCTGGTGGCATTCTTTTTCGTGTTAATGACAACCATTTCCTACATTTTAACAATTGTGACAATCCACATCGAATTCAGGACACGTGAGTCAAACTGTAATACAAACTGTATAGATCTCCAGGTGTCTACTGTATCTGTTGTGACTAAAGGAGGCCCCATGTTTTGCAGTGGGCTTTCTGTGAACATGCAGAACTACAACGGATGAGGAGAATAAATCAATAAATCAGTACCACTATGCATTCTTCCTGTCTGCGCATGGCACATAGTGAACAATTAATTTTGTCTAGCAAATGTTTGTTGTATCTGAGGTTCTCAGCATGGTGTGTGGGGCGTCCTGCACAGCGTCTCCTCTGCAGGTGTGTGTGCACTGTTCACCACAAAAATAACGAGTAAATACTTATAGTCACAGCACTTCCATTCAGCTATGAGTTGAAACTGCTGTCCAAATCTGGGAGCTGTGGACGAATCTACAGTAACACACCAGAAGGCCAGTCTAAAATAAAAAAGCGGACAATGTTGTACGCATCATCAAAAAAAAAAAAAAAACAACCCACAAACCCTTACAGTGATTGTCTGCCCCCATCACTCAGCATATGTGTTGTTCTCTGCTTGCTTCCTTGTTTGCCTTGTCTTTATCAGACACACCGACTGAGGGTGTTTCTGAATGTGCTGGAAGGGAAAGTAATTGGGTTTTCCACACACCAACAAGGTCAACATTAGCAATGAACCCTGCACATTTGCATGTGTGTTTGCAGAGTGCATGAACAAACCCTGCACTGACCCTAAGCCCAGGTAAGACTGTTTGACCTGCAGCTGACAGGGCAGCTCACTCTGAGAGCAGATGAGCTGTACCAGAAGTCTAAGTAGCTGCATATCAAAAGTACTGAGAGCAGCAGCAGAGTTTACATGCGACTGACATTTAGATTCATGGTAGTTACCTGTTAAGTCCTTAACACGTGTTCTTTTAGGCAGTGACCAATATGAGCACCAGTGAAGTCTACATTTTGCTCTTATTGGAGACGCAACAAAAAAAAAAATCCATTGAAATGATCAATTTAACATGAATGTTGAATGAAAAGTTTATAATTGTAGAAACAGCTTCAAATGTGTTTGCCTCCTTTCAGCTTTAATGCCCGCAGCAGTTTGTTCAGACCTGATCAGCCATGTTCTCCCAGCATGACCTGACAATGTACCAAAGAGCCTCTTGTTCAAAATGTTTGACTTTCTCAGTTTTCAAGTGCTCCATAAATGTTCAGTAGAGTCAGGTAACTGTGGAGGAAAGTCAGTGATAGTCATCCCTCCTTGGCCTCTGTGATCTTTAGGTCATAGCTTTGAGGTGTGTTCAGGCTCATTATCCTGCTGCAGTTGATTCTTTCTCCACAAAGATGCAAACCAGGAGAACAGAGCTGCTTCTTCTTGTGTGGACAACGGAGTCAATTCACTGCAGGTGTTCAACTCCAAAGTAAAAGAATCCTCCTGGACTTGATATTCCAAGCAGCATGTTCGACTGTTGATTTGAGACACTGTGGTATCATTCTGTCTTCTGTTTGATCTAGTTTCCTTTCTGAGAAGTGGTTTACAGATGTCCTTTGACACACCACTAGACAGTCTCTGTTGAACTCTTGTTTTTTTTTTCTAACAAATTCTGTAATCTGTAAATGACTTTTGTATCACTTAGTAAACAGAGCTTTATGTATTAATCGTCATACGGTGTGCTCGCTTTAGGTTTACCTGATTGTGCTTTGGATTCAACTGATCCATTTTCTACAAAGTGAGAGCTCCAGGCACTGCCTTCTCAGAACCCTTCAGTCTAGTCATGATTTTATACTGAGAAAGCTCCTCTTTGTTCAGAATAACAATCAGACTTCTGACACTTTGTTCTGATGCCATGGATCCGACTATCACAGTGCTGCTTAGTGAGCAATGTTCTGCTGTAAACTTGAGACACAGGAACTATTTTTGTCAGGTGAACAATGACTGCAGGTTGATTTAGCTGAACAAGCCTCTGATGAGTCGATCAAATCCAACTCATCCAGAGGCATCTGAACGCTGATTTACCATGGCCACTCAACTAACCTGCTTCACCTGGAAATATTGCAAGGTCTTAAATATTTCTTCTTCCTTCTACATGCCAGAAAAAAAATCTAAATTCTCAAATTTTCAGTTTATTTCCAGGGTTCCGTACAAAAATTACAAATTTCTGATATGGTATTAAGATTGAAAACGAGTGCAACACGTATCCTAAGAGTACAACCATCCTTACATCAGAGTAAACTTCTAGATTTTATTGCAAAATCTAAAAAAATAAAAATGAAGGTTCTTCACTTTGACTGCACAGTGACGTCTCACTTGACTCTTGTTGCCCATCTGGCAACAAACACAACAAAACCACCACTCTACAGATGGGTTGCAGTTGTTATTGGTGGGAAGCAGTACAGAGGAACACCTTCATTTGCCAACATGAGTTAGCTCACAGTCATGCACAACCCATCACCAATTTTTGTATGAAAAAAAACACTCCAGCCCAACAGTTCATCGGCTTGTGAACCAACCAGAAAACATGTAATAACAGGGCTCCAGTGCATCCCGGAGAATAATGATAGGAATACCATATGAAACATAATGATTACAAATTTCTATCATCTCAGTTTTCTTTTATTGTGAGAAAACTGCTAGAAGCTGAAATTAGGGAATTCTTTTCTGCCTTTTCAAATCAGTTGTGATAGACAGGGAATGTGGGGGAATCATATGTGCTAGGAGTTCAATCAGGCACTGAACTAGGGCCACATATTCTCTGTTCTTGGTAGAGTCTGAAACCACATGCTTCATTTGTTGATCCAGTTTTCATCTTACAATTCCAGATACAGGCTGAATGATGTGATGTGGGACGAAAAGCAAAACTGCAATAGGGAACATGGGGTTTACAGAGTGTTAAAGCCCTAACTAAAGCATAGAAGACAACAAGTAGAACACAGTATTTAAAATCACTCGCTGTTTTATTCTGTGGTTAATAGTTTCACTCTCTCAAGAACTGCACTTCAGCACCATGCTTATCCACACTATTTGCATTTTTCTTTCATTTCAACCTACAATAGTTGTTGCAGTAATAATGGTTCGTATGATTAAAAGCAAAAAGGGGATTACGGTTAAACCTGTCGTCATCCGTTGCTGTTGTCCTCTAATTACAGAGCAAAAGATAAACACAGACAGAAACGTGTCAGCCTGGGGTCTGTTCCCCATCTGACATACAAGCCATAAAACGTCCGAGTAACGTCATGGGAATATATTTGTTTATATTTATTGAAGAGGGGAAACCGTGAAGTAGTTTTCTTTCTGTTAAAGTTTTACTTTTAGCCACAAGTGCTTCAAGGTCAATTAAACAGAGACTCACTGTGTTGTTGTAAAGTCTGTAGTTTTTTGAGTTTTGCACATTTTAGATGAGAACAAAACATGACTTCAGAGTCTTACTGTGGTGTGTCCGACCTGCAATCACAACTACTAAGGCAATCTTATCTCTTATTTACTTCTGTGGTTCATGCTCCAGTTCAAGTTGAGCATTTACTTGAAAACAAGGATCAACATAATAGAATATTTTCCTTTTTATTTGTTTACACAGTTTATGAGCTGTTCACTTCTCCTTCAATTCATAATTCATCCCCTTAAATCACATCATTAACTGCCCTTAAACAAGTAGTGTTACTCTCCTCCACACTGTTTAATATCGTTTGATATTTGGCTTGGTCTGAAACATGCGGATTCAGGTTAGTATTTATGAACGGTATTGACATCTCTTATCTAGCTAGTTAGCATATTTACACGGTTAGTATGCGGCAGGTTCACTACCCTTCTCACATCCACTGCCCCTTTTCCACCTGTGCCCCCTTCCACTCCCTCTCCCCATGTCCTGTGCATGAGCGTGACCACGGGTGAATGTGCACAGGACATACTGGAATAGCGTCATGCAGATCAATTCGTGGCACTTTTCTAGTTTACCATTTACTAAGCTTGGTCTGTGTCTGAACACCAAATTTGTTTCAGTGCACAATGTCTGATGTTTTTTTTTAATAAATGATTTGGAAAGCTGGGCAGACAGTGTGCTTTTATATGAACTGATTTGATAATCGATCAGTTGGTTAGTCTACAAGCCCAAATATTTTTTGAAAGTAGACTTCAACAAAGCCAAATGAAAATGCTATTCACTGACAAGGAATTCAGGACAACCGATTACATGTTTTGAAAGGGGAATGTTTGGCTTTCTTTATGTTGTTTGCAGGACACCCATTTCAAAACACATTGTGCAGAAGTGCAAAAATTAAAAAAAAAAGGAGTTTGAAAATCTTCCTCAAAACCTTGTTCATCCTTCATACAGGTATTTCTGAAAAACCTCCTGAATTAAAGCACTGGTGTCACAATAAAAACCACACGGGAACACATTCTGTCAATTAAAGGGTGCTCATTTTTAAATTGAAAGAGCCGAGTATTTAGTGCAGAATCAACAGTGAGAGGCAATGATTTATTAAAAACTTTTTCTCCACAAATACTGTATATGTTTGAGTAATGGATACAATGGATACTAGCTAACAGTCCAAAAACACAGGAAACGGATGTTCAGCACCACCCGCTGCTTCC